TAATGTTAGTTTAACTTTTAAAACTTTGTATGAAACTAATAAATAAGTGATAATGTTATTTTAACTTTTAAAACTTTGTATGAAACTAATAAATAAGTGATAATGTTATTTTAACTTTTATAGAATATAAACTGTGCCCAGTTTATTTTAGTTAGAATGTTGTTCTTTTAAAATGATGACTATGGAAATATAAAAATCTAGGCCAACCAATCTTCACGATGATTTTTTTTAATTCGGTAGTTTGAGTTGAGAATCAGTTTATTAATGGTTTTTATGTTGTATGTCGAACTTTAAACTTGGTTAAGAAAAAAACTAGATGAACTAACGAAGATCTAATATCAAACGTGAAAGTGGTTTAAATAATTGAAATAAAATGTTTACGTGTGTGAAGGTGTTAATGTTTACGTGTGTGAAGGTGTTAGATAGTTTACTTTCACGATACGTTTAAAAGTAATCTTCTTTATTAAATAAATTTCTTGTAGCTAATTATTGGTAATTTCGGACTGAGTTACCACCAAGCAAAGGCCCAGATGGCGCTATGGGCAATTCTTGCGGCTCCTCTTCTTATGTCCAACGACCTGCGAGCTCTTGCGCCAGAATTCAAAGAAATCTTGACTAACAAGTACGTCATATCTGTTAACCAGGACCCCCTTGGACTCATGGGGAAGAGAATTTACAATGTAAGATAAAATTAAGTTTTATTTCTGTTAATCTGAAGAGATACGAATTGTGATATACATAGTTTTGGATTACAAACAAATGTCCTATTTTACATTTTTAGACAACTCATTAGTCCTAAAATTATGTTGTTTTTTATTCTTATATGAAAATACAAAGTGAACTAGACCAAATTACCAGTTGTAAAATTGAGGTTAATTTAGATTAAATTCCAGAAATGTTAATCTCTAATATTTATATTAAGTTTTAAATCCCATGATATAGTAAGTTACAATTTGTTTGTTTGTTTTCTTATTTGGTAATACAGTAAGTTCATGACTAACAAACATGGTATAGGAAATAACAGATCTTACGAAAAAGGCCAAAAATTCTCGACATTATTGTTTTAATTAAAACAAAGTTCATTATTATTATTATATTTGTTATACGACATTACTATTAAACGTGTTAATTTTTTAACACAGCATTTTTTATCCTGTCCTATAATGATTTGCAAGAATTAGAAGATTGTATATTGATAGTATTCCAACCACAATATATTCGCTATATCCGTTGCCGACGTCGCGTTTCGCTCAATCCAGAGCTCATCAGACTGGCTGGAACACAACAAACATAGTAGCTGTCGTAACACTATTTATATAAGCCACTTGTTACAACAGCAATCGTTATTGTGTGAACAAACTTTATTATTCATGATATAAATATGCTAATGATTTCATTTCTTTTTCACCAAAGGCGAAACCGAAAAAATGGTCTGTGAAAAAGAGGGCTAATACATTCTTGGACGGCCCGGCATGGCCAGGTGGTTAGGGCGCTCGACTCGCACTCTGAATCCCCGTCCCACCAAACATGCTCGCCCTTTCAGCCGTGGGGGCGTTATATAGTGAAGGTCAATCCCACTATTCGTGTGTAAAAGAGTAGCCCGAGAGTTGGCGGTTGGTGGTGATGACTAGCTGCCTTCCCTCTAGTCTTACACTGCTAAATTAGGGACGGCTAGCGCAGATAGCCCTCGTGTAGCTTTGCGCGAAATTCAAAACAAACAAACAAACATTCCTTGATTGGCCAGTACCTTCTACTGTGGACTGCAGTTTCTCCCCTAAGCACAATTTGGGTCAGCAAACCAAAGAAATACAGTTAGGCCTCTTATAATGTTGAAGCTTGTATAGCATCTATGGGGTTTTGGTGGAACGAAATTAAATCTTTAACATATATATAAGCAATCATTAAACAGTTAGTCCACTGTATAATAACAACTAATGAATTCAATGAAATGTCATAACGTTATTCATTCACCAAAATTAATTTAGGTTACTGTATGGTGAATTAAAACAGACTCAAAAACCCATACAAAGTATATCATTATGTACTAATAAATATATTACCATCAAACGGTATACTGTGAATAGAATTTTTCAACTTGCACGCATTTAATTGGTCAGGTGAAAACCCCTCGACATAGGCGGCAAAACATGTTTACATTGTGGGGAGGGGAGGATAGGTTATTGGGGTACCTTATTTGCTATGTTAACTGTGGCTATTGAATTCAAAGTCTCTATTCCCTATTCAAAGATCAAATATTGGGGGGCATGTGTCCCCAGTTCCGCTCCTATCCCCCTACATTTCAGGTAATGCCATCCGTATTTTTGAGCTATTGACCAGAGGAAAGGAAGACAACCAGCGACACCTGCTGCCAGAAAGAGTATCTGGCCTTTGATCCGAATAACAGAATTGACTGTGACATTTACAATGTCTCAGCTGGAAGTGCAACGTGTGTGATTAAAGGCACCACGTCTCAAGTACCGCTAACCAACTGGCCACGCCTAGCCTCCATACAATCACACTGGTATTACAATTTGTGCGCTGTGTTTGCCACATGGATTAAACCTCGGATTATAGCTCTATAAGCCCTCAAGCTTAACGCTTAGCCACCGGTGGACAAATATAACGCGAGAACTATTGGTAATCTGAACTAGGGGATTATTCGGACATATCAGGTGTGTCATGTACTTCATCCAAACATCTAAATTTTCCGGTTGTGCATGTTATTGCTATCACTTGATTCAGATGTGCTACGTTATGAATCTAAGCACGAATGCCCTGCATGCATTAGATATCTGAATACTTTTATAGTGTACAGAAGCTGCGTGTGTTATATTTAAACGATTCTAGGACCTTACCACTTCGTCACAGTCTATGTCACCACGTTCGCACATGCTCTATCTGACGACCGTCCATCTTGACAATTGCCTTGCAGAGTAGTTTCAAATGCAAAATGCTCTGTCATAATATTATCATGTTCAAAGAACACCACTCCTCCCTGTTTGCTTTCCATATTTCATCAGGTTTACAGGGGCGATGGTTTTCTCGCGCCTGTTTTGATAGTCTGATCACACAAAAATACATTAAATACTTGATCGGTATTTCTTCGTATATAATAACATGAGATGCTTGAGATATGTCGTGAAAATTTGTTTACACGTGACTTGTGTCGTTTTTCCAGACAGAGTTCCTTTACTGTGTTGCATATTGTTGCCTGGGGCATATGAACGGCTTTTGTCACTAACATTTGTGTTCGCAGATTCTCACCTGTTGCATAAAGGTTGTACTTTGCTTACTAAGTCTAGGATACGACTTGTTGCAGGTCTTGGCGCTTCAAGTTGATCCATAATTCTAAATCCTCGGGCTAAACACAGCCCTTTCCGACGCAAAATATTTGTACACTAAGGTGATAAAACTGTTACGTACCGTTCATAAAAACGATAAATTTTCAGCAACATCGCACTACCTACGAAACGACAAAAAACGTCAAAATGTAGCACTGATATTTTCCGTTCCACGCGCGAATTTATATCGGCTGTCACATCACGTAATTTCTGCTGCTTCGGCCATTTTGGTACTGAAAATGGTTCGCAACATCTTTAAACATTCCTTCTCCTGTCATAAGTTTAAATTATGCTCATATATATATATATATATATATATATATATATATATATGTGTGTGTGTGTGTGTGTGTGTGTGTGTGTAATTTTTAGTGTGCTTATTTGTGTAGCTTTGCGGATTTTCCATATAACCATGAACAACTTGAAAAAGGCCTTAAAGTATTATGTTTTTTATATAATAACATGACTCGAAGTTTTAAGTTCTGACTTTCGTTAACCATTTGAGGGTTGTAAATCTTCCTAATCTATATTAATAATTTAAAACCTGATATAATCCTAACCTAATAATTATCATCACATTCTTTATTAACATTACTAGAAGCAGAGTATCGAGATATGGACTAGGCCTATTACACCAACAACAGAAGTCAATTATTATTCATACGCTATCGTTTTCTTTAATCGCCGAGACATGGGCAGCGCCGTGGAAGTGAATGCAACCACCAGCGACCTCTGTCTGAACTATACTCAAGGATACGATGTTCTGGATCTGTTCCACTGGTGGAAATCGCCAGTTCACCTGAAACCTGGTGGAAAACTTAGCGTTAAAGTTAACCCTTCAAGTGTTGTTATGCTGACGGCGAAAATTTCTGAAAAGTGAGCAGAAAGCTCCCCTGGGTTGAAAAAATAACGAATTTCCAGAATTTCACAGCTAATAAACTTATATTTTTGGTGACCGTCTTAGGTTTCAAATGTTCGTTATTCCAACAAATGTTATTACAGGAAAGATTAATAATTCATTACCTTGATTTTTTTTTTATTTCATGACAAATAATTAGGGCTTCTGATTTTCATTCATTTCTTTTTTTGGGTGTTTATTTTTATTTTCATGATTTGTTTCCCAGAGTTCTTCTCTGCACGAGGTCTACTTTAATTTTTATTACATAATTTACTATAAGAATTACCTCTATATTAGTTTAACCTCTACCACACCTCAGCAGTCGATATACCTCATCAATGCTATATAGTAATAGATGCAGGTCAAGAGGGAGAAGAGGTGAACTTATATAAATGTCAAACCTTTTCCAGTTTTTTTCTGGTGTTTGTTGGATGTACACCGATTTTATTTGATTCTTATGTGTTAGAACCGAAAATCAGAAGCCCTCAAGTACTATATGTAAATAGTTATAATGCGCTCAAGCTTGTCATGACCTTTGATTGGAAAGTCCATCGGTTTAAAAGGTTATTAATAAAATAGCACTTGTGTAAAGTGTGTTTCTAAATTCACGTCTGCCATTTTATATGAAAAATTTATGACTAGACGTAAAAAAAAAAGTGAACAAAATCTTCTTCCGCGTTTTTCAGACATATTACTACGTCATAAAATAACATGTTACTACGTCAAAAATAACATGTTACTACGTCATAGAGTAACATGTTACTAATGATGACAAAACCTTGTCGAAACGTTGTACATTTGCTGTTATGTTAAACTTATATTAAAGTTTTTCTTCATTACCCATTCAAGCCGTCTCCAGCCATTATTAGTCTCAAAGTGGGTTCCTCGTTATCGAATTCGAACATATTACTACGTCATAGAATACGGGAAGTTGGTGATACTTTTCAAGCCCAGCGTTTTCCTAATATATAGTCTTATAATTGTAGCCTAACACTAACACTAAAGTATTATTCAATAAATCATCTGTAATAATCATTTTTTTAGCAAAAACTGTTTCGGCTCTTTATTTCCTACTGAAACTGATTTTGATTTGACGATAAAGTTGGGAAAAGAACATATTTCTGTAATATTTCGGGGCTTATTTACATTAATGATATTTAAAGTGTAGAATTATTAGTTGATGACACTAAACTCGAGTTATACTGAAGATGTTTGAAAAAACTTCGATAAACTTGTAAGTTGAACAAATATTTAGCAAATGACCTTTAATTATAGTATTTGGGTTATCATAATCTGGATCACATGCGTAATAATAATATAGTTGAGAACCTATCCAACAACATAACTGAAGAAAAGGGTCTTGGCACATTGGCGATAAGTCACTCAAGTAATCGAAACAGTAAAGTACTAGTCATGCAAATATAAATTCAGGTTGTATTTATTGACATATTGAATACAAGTTAAAACAGGAAATTATCTCTATACAAATCACTAGTTAGGCCTAACTTAGAATACTGTATACAGCTTTAGTCTATTTATCTAAGAAAGGGTATCAGGTAATTATCTATATACAAATCACTAGTTAGGCCTAACTTAGAATACTGTATACAGCTTTAGTCTATTTATCTAAGAAAGGGTATCAGGTAATTATCTCTATACAAATCACTAGTTAAGCCTAACTTAGAATACTGTATACAGCTTTGGTCTGTTTATCTAAGAAAGGGTATCAGGTAATTATCTCTATACAAATCACTAGTTAAGCCTAACTTAGAATACTGTATACAGCTTTGGTCTGTTTATCTAAGAAAGGGTATCAGGTAATTATCTCATACAAAT